AATATTCTCTAGGGCCTGAGCATCTTATTCACTTGCTAGACCTTCCTATGATATCACTAAGTACGCTCAAAGAAGGTGGGTACAAAGGGTTCAAAAGCTGTCTGCCGCAGGGGTCACGCCCTCTTGGAAGTGTATCGAACAGTCTTTATCAAGAGAAGACGTTTGATCAATGTTTCGCTGCCGCAATGGATGACCTTCAGCAATCTGTCACCGAGTGTGCTTTGAAGTTTATGAGGGAAAGACAACCTAACTGCCAGAAATCAGGACCTGCCGCAGCCACAAGCTTCGGCAAGAACCTTGAAAAGAGGCTAAAACGCTACAAGTTCTCCTAACTTGCGTGAATCGTTGTAGTGGGTACGCTAAGTCCGGCAGCCCTTGCGGCTAGTATAAGTGCTTTCTGGAAGGTGTTCGAGAGACATTTTAGAGTTGCAGCAGATCAGACTATGTTTACGCATCATACAAAGGCATTTTTTTATCTCAACTCTGAAAAAAACTACTTCAGAACAAAATCACCGGCTTACCTCACTGAGTCCAAATGTCCATCCTCTTTTGATCTTCTCCCTGGCCCACACATTGTGGGTGTTTCTAGCCAATGCCTCGATAAGCGGATTCAATTCTTCTGGGAGTACAATTTCGTGTGTGTCCAATGGCTGTGGTTTGTAGCCATTTGATTGTTGGAAACTGAAAGTCAAGACAGTGATTTTCGATCCTAAACAAAGGAACTGGGGAATGCTAGGGCTCCATCAAGGCAGGATCTCAAAGTCAAAAATTTATGTAGTAATGGCAAAGAACTTGTTAAACAGCCGTAACCCCATTAATTCAGTACGAGTCCTTACTACTACAACGCATAGATATATTCGAAGAGCCAGCATATCCTTGCATGATTAAAGGCAGAATTTACGATGAAAAGTTAGCTCATTGGAAATAAGGGTAGAGGTGGTCAGTGGAGCAGGGATGAAGAAGAAACCATTTGAAACGGCCCGAAACCCGAGAAATGGGACCCCTTCCTTGCCCGTTGATTTGCGCATTGATGCGACTCTCATCGCTGTGCCCTCTTCAACACTACTCTCTGCTATCTAATCACTCGCCACGTATAGACCTGCGGCGAGTGATTAGATAGTCGGTGGGCGTACCCCGCCAACCGCGCCAAGAGTGAGCCATGCTAGATCGCCGAGGTCAAATCTTTCGCTGCCAATTGCGCGTCAGGAGGTCCGCCTGTCTCCCAACTATGCAATTTTCCCCTTCTTTGACCTTCGTTCTTATCGTGAATCCCTCCTTTAACTCTTCTAACTTGCTGCGCCAATGCCACAAACTCGCGCTAATTGGGTATGGTGCTTCCAGGACTTGCCCAACGTCGGGCTAGCATTTCTCATTGCTCTCCCCTCTCGACTGCGGTTACCCTTTGGAGTGTACTATCTATTATGGCGCCTAACTACATATACATGACTGAATTTAGTCATGGCAGGTCTCGTGGAATATCAGGTGTAAGCGTTCTCACAACTAGTATATCCTCACCAAAGGTAAGGAGAGTCACTGAAAAATATCCAGCGTAAAGGAAAAGACTCACTTTGGCGCTAATCGCACAGGTCGAAGCCTCGTTGGAGGTGCATCAGTAATAAGATGATAACCGAGAGCTTCGATTGTTTTCATTGTATCCAGAGACAAGTTGACATTGTACTGTTTTTCAGTGGCAGGAAGCCGATCGAACGATGTAAGACACGGATGTTTCCTTTGGGCTTCGGAGCGAGTCTGAAACACTTGGAAATTGATGACAATGTATCACAGCAGCAAAAGAACTACCCACTTAGACTATCTTCATAAATTGGTTAGTCACAATACTGCTCTAATGCGAGAGCAAAGGTAAAAACTAACTGCGCGAGCAAGTGGTAAAGTCAACCTGTATATATGCATTATATCAGGAATGGAGTACGCTCACGATAGAAAAAAAAAGAAAAAAGCCGGGTAGTAAGTTATACCTCGCCATAGCTCCAACCGAGCTCGATCTTTCTCATAGCCCACAGTTCATGAAGGTTTTCAGCGAACTTTCTGATGTATGTCTTCAGCTATGGTCGATAGCAGATTAAGTGCTTGCTCGAAGATTGTTTTGTGTTCTCCAGATCTGAGGATAAATTGAAAGATGGCAAGGCGTTTTAACCTGATGTCCGGACTGGTGTGGTACGAAAGGCCTCCAACTGTAAGTGAATACAGTGTGCGGTCCACAGTCACAACATATCCTTGCAGTTCACCGAATGATAAGCAGTCTGATATCTACAAAAAGGAAACGTATTGAGCAGCAAACAGGGAGAGTGATCAAAGTCGGATTTTACGATGAAAAGGCAGCTCATTAAAAATAAGGCTAGAGCTGGTCATTGGTGCAGGGATGGAAGAAAAACCAGAGGAAACCGATCGTCGGACGCACAAGCAGTAGGTCTCCTTCATTGCCCGCATTGAAGGAACCCTCATCGGTGCTGGCCTCTTCAACGGTAAGGCTCTCTCTGCCGAACGGCTAGAGGCTCAGACACCGAGATTGGGGCGTACGGCGCCGATATTGCGGTAATACCACCGCGAGGAGGGCCATGCTAGATCGCATGGCCATATCTTTTGCTGCGAATTGCGTTTCGGTCCGCTTTGAGGGGTTCCGCCTTTGAATACACTAAGGTAAGTTTCCCCCTTCTCAATTTGGACCAGAGTCAACCCTGCGTTGCGCAGTTTTCAACGGCCACGTTGCGCAGTTTCGCCCGATTAGACACGTTCTCTCGCGCGAACATTCACACTCGCATGCTCGAGCCGTCTGCGTCTCCGCCCATACAGCGTGCGTTGAGGATCTCTCAACGTGCCGTTGCGAACTGCGCAACGCAGGGTTGACTCTGCCTTGGACCTATCGTTGGATCTCCTTTTGATACTCAAGCAAACAGTCAAAAGATGATGGTTAGTAAACGGGTTTACCCCTGAAAATCATCCTAAAATCTGTTAGGACAGGAAAGTGAGAAGGATGGGTGAGCTACAGTACGACCATAATTGATGAGCTATTTCGCCCACTTGTGAATTATTGCTCCAGAAAATGAAAACAGATGTGGTCATTGGTCGATCTGTAATGAACGCTGGAGTCCTTTGCAAGCACTTTGCAAGCTTTTTGTTGGGGGGTGGGAGCGGATCGCAGACCTTGGTCAGTCCTGAGAATGCCGCAAATCCAGACCATCCAACTAGCTCACCATATTGTTTTGAAGGTTCTTAGCAGCCCCTAATCTTTCTTACATACAGACTGATTACTTGATTCTTTTATTTTGAAGAGAAGTATCGCACCTAGACAAGCGTAAAATGTGGCATTATCTAGCCTAGGAAAGCGCTTGGTGATGGATAGATGAAGCGGATATTGGTTTGTAGTGTTTACGCGAGTATGAGGGAGTAAATGTTTCGCATCAGAGCATCCTACATAGTAAGTGCATCGTGCTCGAATATTTAGGGGTTACTTACAAGGAATGGTCAATTGGTCGGTCCGGCCATTTGTAATGAGGTGTAGTCCGATGCACGCGTCTTGCGACGCTGAGCTCAAATCCGTTTTCGGTTTTTGCCGAACGATTCTCTGAACGAAGTTACGAGGGATTCTTCTCACTGTGGCGCCCTCTACATTCCCTGTCCCACTCGGCTCGCATAAGAAGAGCCGCAGAGCATCAATGCAGTGGTATGGTGGTCTAGTGGATAGCGCTCTTGCTTCATAGGGGTGAGGTCATATGTTCGAATCCTTGTCGGTGGCAAGCTTTTGCATTTTTTCAAGGCTGCTCATACGAGCCCAGAAAGCGTTTATAATTGGTTATTCTGTTATGCGTTCTGTTCGTTCGTTCTGTTTTTACGCGAGCCAAGTGTCAAACGTCGCAAGACGCGTGCATCAGGCTACACCCCTTTTTAAATGGCCACCGACCAATTGACCATTCCTTGTTAGAACGGTAAATAAGACCCCAAATTTCAGAAGCTACTTATAACTGAATATACGCATGCTCTGAGTAGCTTCAAAATTACCTGTAATTCTCCGCTAACTGCCTCCACAACAGCCGAGAACCCAGGTGGCGGTCCGAAGCGCAGACGACCTTGATCGCCACCAAAAATGAAACGGCAACTAAAATAATATCGTTACTACATGGTTTTCCGTATAATTTGAAATAACTAGGAAATCTGGAAAATTCAACAGGCGATGACGTCACTCACCTGACTTTGGCACTTAAAGACATCACAGGGAAGAAATAGCCATCCGTGTTGAAATCTCGATAACTAGCGCCAACATCGCGTCCGTTTACGGTAAACCTGATTCAGAGAACAATATTCGAACAACACATGATGTATTTAGCTCCCATGTAGGAATCTCCTCTACATTATCGGCCTTTTCTTCCGGTAAAGGTCACATTCATAATTGTCGCGAATCGCGAGATCGCTCCCCAAGGTTTTCCCCCGGGCGTGTTGGTTCCTACCGTAGTCAGCCACCTTGACCACCTGCCTTTGCTCTATACATCGATTATGCGGGAAACCGCGGCCACCA